TTGGACAATAATACCTTTGTATCCTTTAAAGGGTGCCCTTTTGTATTTTGAATTATTCTACGCATCATTGAAGCGCCAGGGTGACCAAGGCGATCATGCCATAATCCAAACTGATCAAGGTTTACCAATTTCCAGGATATGGTGGAGTAGGTTTCAACGGCCTTAATCATGACACAATACAAACCCATAGAAGAAGCTTCTAGCTTCTCATGGATGGTCTTCAGGCCCATCTTATAAGAGGTAATGCCAATATATTCTTTATTTTGCTCATAAATAGTCTCAACATGGTACCCATTACGGCGTACATCTTTGAAGCTAAGCAGATTCCTTTTTGATCTACTGCTTAGAAATGCATTCTCAATATGCAGGATGGTGCCTTTTGGCAAAACAATTGTGGCATTCCCGAAACCATCAATAATCTGAATAGGACCAGATATTGTATGGACATGTGTCTTACGCAATGTCATACTCGAGAAAAAGTGTCTACTACGAAATATGGTATGCGTTGATGCACTATCAAGCAAACAAACATCTTCCTTTTTCTCGGTGTTTTCCATTTGCATTTATGTTGACAACTTCAGGTGTCAAGTATCATAAAATTTTCATATTAGTTATAGGGTCAAATAAAATTTCAAAATAATAAATATTATGTCAAGTTCATAAGCATTTCATTGCATAACCATATTAAAGAACAATAAAAAGTAATACATTTAAAGAAAAACAACTAGAAAAGAAATTATTAGAATCATAAAATTCGAAGTCTAAGATGTCATCCACCAGTCTGATGCTTCATCAAAGTAATCAGAGGTCCTCAAAGAAATCAGAGACATCCAGGGATGCATTTGCTACTTCAGGAGCAAGAGGAGTCCCATCAACAGAGATATTGTTGGCCTCAACAGTGGTTATGGCAGCAGGATTAATTTCAATGGCGTGAGATTCACCACGTTTGCCCGTATTTTTTAAAGATGCCTGGTATAGATCAACAAAGTGCTTTGGCGTACGACAAGTACGTGACCAGTGCCCAGTCATGCCACAACGATGGCAAATACTTTCATTAGTCACCTTCTTTGGCTTCTTTTCTTTGTCATGATTCGGGCCAAAGTTAGATTTCTTAGGGCAGTTAAATTTTCTGCCACCCCTTCGAGGATTATATTCTTGCCTGCGATTGTAGCCCTTAAAATGGCCAATAAATTTCTCAGAGTTAGCATGTGCTTCAGGCAATGCTTTTGAGCCAGCAGGTCTAAGATCATGATTTTTGAGCAGCAATTCATTAGTTTGCTCAGCAGTGAGGAGCACAGAAATTAATTCAGAGTATGTGTCAAATTGACGCTGCCGGTATTGCTGTTGCAATACAATATTCGAAGCATGGAAGGTAGAGAAAGTTTTCTCTAACAGTTCCACATCAGTGAGCTTGATACCGCATAACTCAAGCCGAGAAACAATATCAAATAAAGCGGAGTTATAGTCAGACACTGATTTAAAATCTTGTAGTCTGAGATTTTGCCAGTCATATTGTGCTTGAGGAAGGATAACAGTCTTGGTATGATCATACCTATCCTTCAACCTCTTCCACAAGGTCTGAGGGTCTCGAACGGATAAATATTGAGTCTGCAGGCTCTCATGCAAATGACGACGAATAAAAATCAGTGCATTTGCTTTATCTTTTGCATTTGAGGTTCCGTCTTCTGTAATTGCGTTAGCAAGATCTTGCCCTTGGAGGTGCATTTCCATGTCAAGGCACCAGGATAGATAATTATTTCCACTCACTTCGAGGATGTGGAATTTGGGCTTTTCAATATTTGCCATAATTCTTGCAAAACAAATGAATCCTTAAATTAATTAGAAGGATTTCCAAATATCCACCGCCACTTCAGGAGCAGAAGGATACTTTTAGGTTGGAAATTTGGCTTCAGGCCAAGCAAAAGAAAAAAAATTGATAGAAGAAGATGAAGTATAAGTTGATTAATAAAAAAAGAGAATATATACTTACCTTGCAAAAATTATTTACTCAATTGGTAAATCTTCGTGCTGATAACGTGTTGTAAAATATTGCGCTGCAAGAATATAATAGAGAGAATAGAGAGAGATTAAGTAGAGAAAGTAGATAAACACCAAAGATGGTAGAGAAAGTCAGAGGAGAAATTTTATTTTCACTGTATATTTTCCTCTTTCATTCTCTTCTTCTGATCTAATTTCTTACCCAATGACCAAAAATAAGCTCCTATTTATAAGGAAACAAGGATGCACATATCATTAATGTCAATGTATTGAATATATACATTGAATAGGGAGATGGGCATTCATACGTAGAATGTAGGTTACGAATGTGCCATAATAGGTACATTGAATATTCATTCATGTATGTAGGTTACGAATGTGCCATAATAGGTACATTGAATATAATGAATATTCATTCATGTATTTCATAACAGGAACGAATTTATGAATTATCGCGTTCAAGTTATGTAGGAACGAATTTATGAATTATCGCGTTCAAGTTATGTAGCAGACAATACGCGTAATGGAGAATAAATGTTATTAGTCGAGTTTGCTATAAACAAGTTTTTTGGTGTCATGTAAGTGTCGTTTTATTGACGAATAAATGTTTTTAGTCGAGTCATTCGTTAAAGTATTAGTTGGATTTTGATATTGTTTTTCGATTAAAGAATTCGAGTTCGTAGGTTTGAGTAACCTTCGTAGGTTGGTTTTCAACTTTCCTAGGTAAATGGTACGATCTTTTTTTTTTAGTTTATAAACTCATAATTTGAAAGTGATATGGATTAGATTTACTATGAGATACGAAATGACATGTTTATTGCATAAAATATGGATTGATGATTACTCCCATTTTGCTTATTTGAAATGGAAAAGTACCTGTTGATTACGGTTCGAGTTGATTGTCTGTCAATGGTTTGGGAAACCTTTTACCAAAGGAGCAAGAAAAGTTTGTAATTTATGAATACGATTTATGAAAGGTACATTGATATATATATTGAATCATCAAAAGTGATACTATTTGGTTATTGAGCCTAAGTTTTGAAATGGTTTTTGGTTTTGATTGTGGATCATTGGAGATTGAAATTGATGAATTATGCTCAAGTTGTTATGATTAGAACCCATTGAGGGGGTAAGTATGCATATTGTTGTAGCACGTTCTTCTAAGCTGAACCACCGGTTGATATAGGTAATAGAACTAGTCAAGGGAGTAAACTTGACCGCATTTGTCACAAACGTTAAATGTGACTGTAGTTAGATGTTGACCATTACATTAGTCGACAAAATGGACCATAAACGTTTGATTTGATTGAGATTGATCAATGAGATTGACCATTGATATTTGTTTTGATATTTGTTGATTAAAGAAATATTTATGATATCTATATGATTAATTTAAAGTGATATAGCTCATTTGATCCTATATGTATATTACACACTGTATTGAGATAAATGAGTATTGATATCGGTTTATAAAGATGTAAAATGAACATTCGATTTGCTTAAGAGGGATGTTGTTAATCATTGAGCTGTGATTGCTCATCCCTTACGTCTTTAATTTTTTCCAGGTTCTTTGGCTAGCGGCTGAAAATATGAGAGCTCTATGGACGGGGACTTTTTGGGGTTGGATTTTGGGTATGAACTTAGTTAGCTTTATATGACTGAGTTGAGGCTGTTGGATTTAGTTGTTAGTTGGAGTTGTATGTATGTCTATTGATAGATGTTGGGTCGGCGGAGTCTTAATTTGTACATATTCTTTTTGACTTTTTATCAATTATCATCAAATGTATATGGATGTATCTATTTCGATATTAAGTTGAGTTATGATTACATTTGAGACTCCATCTTTTGGGTAAAATGACGGTCATGTCATTATCCCTATTCTTGTAAGTTGGGAGTGCGACAGAGACATCGCCTTGGATTTTATACCTAGATGGTGGTCTCACATTGTTTATCTAGAAAAAGCTTTCCAAATTCGTCTCCTGTAAAAGTAAGACTTCGTGACATGTGAGCGAGAACATCTCAAAAGCTTTGTTGATTGAGCAATAAGGATCGTGAGATTTCTCCATCTTATTAAAAGACAAAAGCCTTTCCCCTGTTTTTTTAATAATTAAGAGTGCCAAGTCTAATTAGTTGTGACGTTAACAATAATAAAGTCGTATTAGGCTTTCAGTAAAAAAGAAACAAATATATATATATATATACACATGGGGCGGGGCATGCCTATCTATAACAGTAAGCATATTCAATAGGATGTCGACAGGATGTCGATAGGGTGACAAGACTTTCATTGTGATGGAATTCGATGACCCATCATGCAACAACTAATTGAGGAAGGTAGCGTGGGAGTTCATTGCGCTCTTTACTATTGACAGGGGTACATGACATATTGAAATGAGTTGCAAATCAGTGGGCTCCTGTCAGCATCGTGATGACGGGACCACACAATGGTCATATCTTTCGGCAGAATAATTACACAATTAATTCATAAATTTTAATTTAATATATAATATCGTATTTAAATTTTTTAATTTGTTCAACGTGATCTTTAAATTTTGGCTTAAATTAATATTCAATGCCATCCTTGTATTTTTGATCTGTTTAATATAGTCTCTGATCTTTCAGTACATGTTTAATTTAATCTTTGAACTATATAAAAATACCCGATGTTGTCCCTGAACTTATTTTAATGGGAGTACAACATTGATCATTACTATATATTCCAAAAACTAATTTGAATATATGTCAAAAATTATTTTTCTTTTTAGTCATTGCTACAATGTTTGTTTATACTCAAACAAAAGCAAAAATATCCCACCAAAACTTAAAATATTGTTTAAGCTTTTAGAAAATTATGAAACATTATATGTGACGTGACGCTGGTGTGAACACGTGAGTGTTGCAAAAGTTTGAGGACTTACCTATTTTAAAAGAAGCCACCGTGCGCGAGCTGCATTATTTAGATTAGGGGAAAAATAAAAGGTAAAAGTCAATCTAGACCGGGAAAAAAATTATGTTATGTTTCTCGTTAAATCCTAAAAGTACAGAAAGTTGCAGGTGTCAATGACAAGATTGAAGCAATAATCACGGAATGAGCTTTTGTTTAGGGAGAAAGCTGGGCTAAAACCGGGATCGAACCATTGCAGTTAACCCATCTCAACGACTACTTTCAGGCACTTCATACATCTGAAGCATGTACGCTGTTCAGGGACAGCCTGTTTGTGCCGAAAATAAGAAAGCGCTGTCATGTCAATCTGTCGTGTCGATTTGCATAGCCATCAAAACTATGGTGAAAATCAGAGATATGCTATGTTCACGGTGACCCGAAGATGAGCAACTACAGGTCCTCCATGTTAGCGACGACTGTTTTTGGCCGTGACAAATTGCGCAGAGCGGAAAGGTCGATTCCCCTCAGAACAAGGTAAATTATGAACGAAATGTACGCGACCGCAATGACACACACCACAGTGCCAAAAATGGCTCCTAGTTCAACGTCGCTTGAGAAGAAGTCCACCAGAAGATAGCCGTTGATCGCCATCACCAGTGCAGCCACCAGCCAAGCGGTCACCTGAAAGCAGAATGCAATTTACTAATTATGAGGGTTGATATGAAATTCGTAGAGTGAAGCAATCACATGTGTGAATGATTTGCTTATCGGATTCATCTGGGTATTTACAATTCCAAACTAGAACGTCGGGAATTCGAAGCGAAACTCGGCGATATACCTGGAGGACAGGGCCAATCCGAAAACTCCCCATCAGCTCTTCCTTGGAGACCAAGCAGAGAAGTGGAATGAGCGCGAACGGGATCTGCACAGACTGAAGCACGTTGAGATACTCGTTCATGACATCCAAGCTGTCCTCCGACGTGTCGAACGCGAGCGCGACGATCATCGCCGGCACGATTGCGCAGCTGCGCGTGATCAGCGCCCTCACCCATTTCCTCAGCCTTATATTGAGAAAGCCCCCCATTATGAACTGCCCTGCATAGGTCCCGGTTATAGTGCTGCTCTGCCCAGCAGCTAAAAGACCAATCCCCCATATGTACACAATCGGAATGACACCGCCGCCAAACTTCTCCTGGAGGTAATTCCCAGCGTTTACAAGGCCAATGCTGTCGGCGAGGGCGGTCCCATAGAAACCCTCTGCGAACACGGCCGTGACGAAGAGATTGATGATGAAGGAGACAGCAAGCGCGGCAGACGACTCTATTGTGTTGTAGTTGATGGCTTCTTGGACCAGGCCTTTCTTGGTGCGGTCGATCTCACGGGACTGCACGAGGGCTGAGTGCAAGAACAAGTTGTGGGGCATTATGATGCAGCCCAGAACTGCCACCGCTTGCGTGATCGTCTTGGAGCTGAGTTTCGGAATCAAAATGCCTGCGAAGAAGAGAGCCCTACGGATCATGTCCTAAACTGGTATATAATTTGGGGAAACTTACTGATGAAGCATTTGATTGCTACCGTTTGCTGCTAATATATTTTACCGAGAAGTAGTTTGACTCCGCTCGGCTTCGCTTCGCCAAACATCCACGCGAATGAGAGCGCCATCACCGCGATGAGAACGGCGAAGACCGCTTCCAATTTCCTCACACCATAGTTCTCGAGGAACAGAAAGATGAAGCTACAGCAGGAGAATGAAGGAAACTTCAGTTTGAAGTCTGGATTCACCAATAAACGAACAACAATGACCAATGACTACAGCTGAGAACAGAATCATCCATTTGATTAGTTTCCTACAGACAGATCATATTCATTGATCACCAATACCATAAATCTGCAGGCAATGCAACAGTGCTAAGACATCCTCTTTGCTGTGAAACAACATAATTAGTATAACAAATAGCAATTTGTCCCTGCTAAATTATAGCTTCAGAGCGGGCCAAACCATTGAATTCCTCAAACATGCTCTTGTAATACTTAAATGCTTTAGTCAACTTTACTCTGCATCAAAAGTAAGTTCTGAAGATCTGTTCTTTACAACCTTCGAGAAATCCAGTGCACATGCCATCCAATTCCAAGATAATTTAGTCCAGAAGAAACAAAATTTTGCGAAAATGATATTTGAATGCATGAACGTAAACTGGTCCAGAAGATTGAACATAAGAAAAGGCACAAAATTCGAGGAAAGTTGCACAAATTACCAATCAGCAGCGGTAATAATGACGCCAGACCAAAGTGGCAAGAACCCATTGCTGAGAATGTTGAGGGCGATGGCGCTCCCGATGACCTCCTGTATGTCGGCTCCGACCAGCGCCACCTCCGCCATGAACCACAGTGCCAGCCGCGCCCACGTCGGGTACTCCTCCCGGCACAGCTCCGCCAGGTGCCGCCCCGTGGCCACACCGAGCCGTGCCGCCAGCAGCTGCACCAGCAGCCCCATCGCTGTGGCCCACATCAGCAGCCACAGCAATGAGTACCCGGCCACCACGCCGGCCTGGAGGTCGCCCTCCAGGTTCCCCGGGTCGAGGAAGGCTATGCTCATGAGGAGCCCCGGGCCCGAGAAGAGCCACAGCTTCCTCCACGAGAAGGGCGGCGGCGCTCCCGAGTCGGATTCCCCGCCGGCCTCATCGCCGATGCCGACCACGTGGATCTTCTGGGCCGGGTCGTACGCCGCCTCGTCCGAGTCGGCGGCGCCGTGCAGGAGCGGCTGCTGTAGGTCGGGTTGCTGAGGTGGCATTGCGCAGAGAGAGAGAGGTTTGGCCTTTTGGTTGTGGAGTCCAATGGAGATATATTAGGCTTTGGTACTCTTTTCTGGGTTGGCTGTGACGCTGACCTTTAATATCTTCTTCGAATTTAGTTGTGGCAGTTCGTGTTTGATTTTCATGATTATTTTTTTTTATTTTCCTTTTCCTTTTCTTGAGAGGTTTGATTTTTGAGGAGTTTGCTTTTGGTATTTTCCGCCTTCTCCAGCTACCGAGCGTTAGTAGGAAGAAGAGATAAGTGTGTTGCAAGTCATAAAACATGTCATGAAAGTGTAATCGAGTACTAAAACTTTTAATAACTGCAATTAAATCCTAAAACTTGTCAAATCTGGTCCAATCAAGTCCTTCCATCGATTGCACATTTTTAAAAGTTTTAGGACTCGATTGCAATTTTGCAACAAGTTTTAAGACTTGATTGACTTTTTGCAAGTTTTTAGAACTCAATTACATTTTCGTGATAAATTTTAAGATTTTCAGTGCACTTATCCCTAGAAAAAAAAAGTTAACGTGTCGAGCATGGACTTTTGTGTATATTTGAACCATTAGATATCGTGGATTGATCGTTGTAGATGGATTTTGGAGAATGTACAATCGATTTACGCAATATAGCTTGGTAGATGGGAGGAGTGGGCTTACAACTACCATTCTCCTTCCTCACGATGATTGGTTTTTGTCTTTTGTTTTTGTCATTCATTCATGATAATTTGTGCAGGTTGGCCCTCTTTTCCTCTGTTTTGTTATGCATTCATTCATTCAGTTCTTTTTCTTTTTCTTTTCCTTTTCATCTATTGGGTATTCCAGTACCATAAATAGAGAAAAGGGAAAATCAAAATCAATTACCCAGCATAGTATTAAATCTCGAATTTTATTAAAAAGTAGTACATTTCGATCTGTTTACTTGCATGGGCCATTAATCCCATTAACTTTTTCTTGAACAAAAAAAAAAGATTTGAACCTTACGGGTCGTTTACCAAGTTTGAATCTTTATTTTTCCACTAATTAATAATTCAATATTTGTAATATGGCGGTCTTGTGAAACCTTTTAAATGTCAATTTTTGCATGTACTTAACGTTTGTAAACATTTGCCAGCTAAAAATACAAGGAGTGATGGATCCCCAGCATATGACTTGATTGATGGATTACAGATGAGAAAAAGCATAACAAGGAAGGGAGGCATGAAGTTGAAATTATCGTCGGGGAGACGCCCAAATAGATTATGTAAGAGGAATGAAGCACACAGCGCTTGCAATTTCGTCACAGGATCTTGTACCTTTTTGAGTTCACACATAATCCTCGGTTGTCGATGGAAGCGGGACGGATCTGGAATTATTGATCTCCCCTCAAATATATCTCGTTAATTTTCGATTGTTCTCGAATCCATCCTGAAATCCATCACAGGTTTGATATGAAATCCCAAACTCAGCTCACTGCAATAATCAGGTAACCGCGACCTACCATCTTACCTTCTTAGTAAACGGATACCTCTAGGTAGACTAAGAAAAAAAATCACTTCAAAATTACAAACATAACCATTTGTTGGATATTCAAGTATTAGATCTCCAAAAAGTCTAAGATTAACGATTAAATAATTATAAAATTAATAATAGATAGTCAAGCTAAGAAGGCGGTTGTCATTAGTAGATTATCGTTACTTCTGTTTTGGTTTTACAATAATAACGTATATTTACTTAATCACATAAGGATCGTGAATGAAATAAGGAATCCCAGAAATTAATGCATATCGAGTTCGGACATCGGTTTTCTGATTATAAAATTACCAAACTCATTTCGAGTTTTATAAGGTTTCGAGCAATTGATCCCAACAAGCCATTTTTTGCTGGTCGAAATTCCAAAATCCATTTACTATCTTATTAGGATTTGGACGGGGAAGATGATTCCTTTGTGTCTGTCCCAATTCCATTTCCCAGACGCTGGGCATGTCGAATTGGTTTCACATCAAATCCCTTTCATTCGATGAAACGGCCGGTGTTGGAGGCGTCTCGGGCTCGTCCTTTGTGTTAGTGGTCTGCCCTAAGAATCAATCAAGGTTGATACTCTAATATTAGTTGTGGATTAGGTTGTGTCGGAAAACCGATCTTCATTATACTTAGGTAGTCATAATGTGTTGCTAGAGACCGCTTATGACTTGTGGGCCAAAAGAGTTTTGGACACACTGCTAATGTTTAGTGAACCTACAGGGTCGCACACAATAGCGAACGGACTTAATATTGTCTATGCGCCTTGATATACTTAAGAAGTAGATTTTAATTTATTATCCTATTTAAATTATCTATGCGGTTGTACGCGTTATGAGATAACGATTAAACGTACGATTGAAGGTGGACGGTTTGGCGGGCCCAAATAGCTCGGCCCACTTCTTTTAATTCCGCTAGATAATGAGGCTGTATAAATAGATAGAGAATCGTTCTCTGTCTAGGGTTTTTCGATAGAGTATCGAAAAGCAAAAGGCGTTTAAGAAAAAGGAACTTCAAGATCTTTCGCTAGCACGTGGATCGTTGGAGAATTTCGTTCGTGTGTGTGGATACCTGGGTAGAGGCGCAACACTTGGGGCGCTCATCCGACACAATTCTTGCGATTTCTCTTTGATCTGCAAAAGGTACGTATCGAAATTCCTTTTCGATTTCAATATACGCATGGATCCTGTCTAGGGTTCTATATTCCGCTGCGTTGTTACTGTTAATGAACCCTACAGTGGTATCAGAGCAACTTGTGATATATTGAAGTTGAATCGGAAACCCTAATTGTTGATACATATGATGTATGCTTGAAGAGTCTAAATTAGGGTTAGATGAATTTGAAATATGAATTGATATGATTAATTGAGAAGGAACGAAGCAGGGATGGGTCAATCCTGTTCCGCTCGCGTCGAAGCAGAGACGGCGTCGCGCCTGGGTTGTTGCCCGAGGCGGAGACCGCGGGCGGAAACGGCGTCGCGCCTGGGCGTGTTGCCCGAGGCGGAGACGGCGGGCGGAGACGGCGACGCGTCTGGGCGTGTTGCCCGAGGCGGAGATGGCGGGCGAAGATGACGGCGCGTTTGGGTCTGCTGCCCGAGGCAGAGACGGCAGCGCGCCTGGTCTTCCGGCGCGTCGAGGACTTGCGGCGTTCGGCTAGTTACGTACGGTGAGGGCGCGGGAGGCGGCAGCGACGGAAAGTCTCCCGAGAACACAGAATTGAGAATTCTGTCTATGTTTTCGGCCCCTCGACCCCGCAAGGGGGCGCAGCCCCCTTGACCCCTGCATGGAATTGTTCGTTCCCATATATATGATTGATATACCTTTGTTATGATAAGTGATGCTTTGTTTTTGTTCATAACATGTATACATTCATCGCTAAATAAACATTAAGAGTCCCTAATAAAATTAAGTAATAATATGATGCATTTCCAATCATACACCTATTAAGACTTGAATCGTCAATAGATGAGCCTGCCAAAGCAGGGTGTCTTTAACTATTTGAGTAAAATAGGATGGATAATGGTTATCCATAAGTCAAGATTGGTTTACTTAACGAGGCTATCAAAACGGTTTTGGGCCTTGAGGCATAGTATTTGGGGATAAGATATGAGATGTCAACCCTAATAACCAAGAGTTGTATTCGATACAATTGACAAAGAGTTGTCTACCTAAATAACTTAGTCTTGAGCGGTAAGCCAAAGTTTACTCGAGTCTTGGTAAAATATGGATCTTGGTCCACTATACTTCTTGGGACACATGTTATAAAAGTATAGTGGGAGTTTATTATTTATAATGTTAATGAACAATTCACTTTGCATATTTGTTGTAGATAATGGCAAATAGCTCTGCATCACACTTTTCACTGCGATCTGTCCTTGAGAAGGACAAATTGAATGGTTCGAATTTTTTGGACTGGTATAGAAGCTTGAGAATTGTTCTCAAGCAAGAGAAAAAGGATTATGTCCTGGAGAAACCACTCCCTCAGAAGGCACCTTCTTCCAATGCTCCCCATGCTGAAAGGAATGCTTATCAGAAGCATAAAGATGATGCATTGGATGCATCATGTCTAATGTTAGCTACCATGAACTCAGACCTTCAGAAGCAATTTGAGAACGTGGATGCCTATGATATAATCATGAACCTGAAAAATTTGTTTCAGGAGCAGGCACGCACTGAAAGATACCAAACGGTAAAGACCTTAATTGAGTGCAAGCTAGCAAGTGGGAGCTCAGTTAGCCCACATGTCATAAAGATGATAGGTTATATTGAAAATCTGGAGCGATGGGCTCTCCCATTAGCCAAGAGTTGGCTATCGACATTATTCTTCGAGTCATTGCCTCAAGATTATGACACGTTTGTTATGAACTATAACATGCATAATTTGAATAAGTCTTTGACTGAACTGCATGGGATGCTCAAAACTGCTGAGCAGAATATCAAGAAGGACCCTACCCCTAATGTTCTCATGGTTCAAAAGGGGAAAGGCTTTAAGAAGCCAGGTAAGGTCAGGGGTAAGGGCAAGGGCACTAAGCCTAAACCCAAATCCAAGACCAAACCGGTTCCGACTGCTGATGCTGTATGCTTCCATTGTGGGGAGAATGGACATTGGAAGAGGAATTGCAAGAAATATTTGGAGGATCGAAGAAAAGGAAGTGAGACTTCGATTCGGTATTTATGTTATAGAAGTAAATGTTACTACTAGTTCTACTTCATGGGTATTGGATACCGGTTGTGGTACTCACATTTGTATGAATGTACAGGGACTAAAACGAAGTAGAACACTTACAAAAGGTGAAGTGGAGCTACGTGTTGGGAATGGAGCAAGAGTTGCTGCATTAGCCGTAGGAACATATGATGTAGCTTTACCTTCTGGCATGTTTTTAGAACTGAATAATTGCTACTATGTACCTGCTATACGCAGGAATATTATTTCTGTTTCTTGTTTGGACAAGGAAGGTTTCTGTTTTGATATAAAGAACAATAGTTGTTCGTTTTATCTTAATGGATTATTTTATGGTAGCGCCCATATTGTGGATGGGATATA